CACAACTGAGGGGCTCAAAGACAGAGCCATAGTCTAAACCCTGTGAAATTTCACCATGCAACTTTTTGAAAATCCTTGTCAGACAATTCCAAGCAGACGCTAGCCATCCAATTGTGTCCCTTGCACCCACGCAGATTTAATAAACAGATCTCCATCCAAGCTACTTAGAGTGGCTGCAGTGGCTTTTGGTTTTGAGAATGGGTCTGTGTTGCCCATGTTGGCCTCAAATTCCTGGGCTCAAGTGACCCTCCTGCCTCAGCCTCCCAAGGATCTGGGACTACAGGCGTGTACCACTGCACCCGAGAAAGCTTCTCCAGGATAACCCTGATCTATTGTCCTTTGAGTATGATTATTAACTGTTTGAAAAATGTAGTTAACTGTCCTAACATTCAGCCAGCCCTCTCCTCAAGCACACTCTGGCAGACTCTTGAAGAGCCTGTGAAGTCCCAGCCCAGGCCTTTAGTCTTCTGTAGAGACAGGGTTTCACCATGTGAAACCATGTTGGCCAGGCTGGCAAAGAGATCTTAAGCATATAAGAAGCGGCTCAAACTCTCTCACGAGACAAATGTAAATTAAAACACACTGATGTGCCAATTTCCATTTAACATATTGGCAAAGATCACAAAGTTAACTGGGAACACACTCTGGCAAGGGTTTGGGGAAACACCCATACTCCTGGTGGGAGCAAAAATGGATATAACATCCACGAAAGAACTCAGCATTTCTGCTTCTTGGAATTTATTCTACGAATACTCACTGACGTGAAGAATGACACGTCCACGTGGCATTTTATACAAATATATGTCTGTTTCATGGCAGCAAAAGATAGAGCATCAACCTAAATATTCATCACCAGGGACTAGTTTAAAACATTATGATATAATGAGCTTCTAGGCAGCTGTCAAAAGAGAACGAGGAAGCTCTGTATGAACAGAAATGGAATGATCTTCAAATTCTGCCAACTCCACCTTCAAAAATTATCTAGAATCCAACCACTTCTCCAAAACACCTTAGTGGAAGGTATCATCTTGTCTGGCTGAATCTGCTTCCTAGCTGCTGTGTCTACTACCCTCACTTTGTCTATTCCCCAGGAGCAGTCACATGGGTACTATTAAAACATCAATTATGGCCGGGCGCGGTGGCTCAAGCCTGTAATCCCAGCACTTTGGGAGGCCGAGACAGGTGGATCACGAGGTCAGGAGATCGAGACCATCCTGGCTAACCCGGTGAAACCCCGTCTCCACTAAAAAATACAAAATAAAAACTAGCTGGGCGAGGTGGCGGGCGCCTGTAGTCTCAGCTACTCGGGAGGCTGAGGCAGGAGAATGGCGTAAACCCGGGAGGCGGAGCTTGCAGTGAACTGAGATCCGGCCACTGCACTCCAGCCTGGGTGACAGAGCCAGACTCCATCTCAAAAAAAAGAAAAAAAAACAAAAACCAAAAAAACCCCACATCAATTATGTGACATCGATTACCAGCTTAAACCCCTCCAGTGACTTCCCACCTCACCGAGTAGAAACCATGGGCTCTACCTCACTGCCCCCGCATCCCCCAGCCATCCTCTTTCACCCTATTATTACTCTGACCTCATTCCATTTTCCAACCTCACTGGCCTCCTTGCTTTCCTTGAACACACCGAGAATGCTCCTGCTTCAGGATCTTGGTACTTGCTGTGCCTGGTCCCCAGAACTCCAATAGCTCTCTCTCAACTCTTTAGGGTCTTTAGAGTCTATTCAACGTCACCTTCTCAGCAAGAGCTGCTTTGACCACTGTAATTAAAATTGCACAAACACACACACACACAAAAGTAGTAACATGGTAGACACAGGTGTTCTAGGTGTAATTCTTTCAGCTTCTCTGAATGTTCAAAAATTTTCATTATAAAATGCTGAAACAGGCCGGGCACGGTGGCTTATGCCTATAATCCCAGCACTTTGGGAGGCCAAGGCGGGTGGATCACGAGGTTAGGAGCTCAAGACCAGCCTGGCCAACATGATGAAACCTTGTTTCTACTAAAAATACAAAAATTAGCCAGGCGTAGTGGTGCACGCCCGGCTACTCAGCTACTTGGGAGGCTGAGGCAGGAGAACTGCTTGAACCCGGGAGGTGGAGGTTGCAGTGAGCCGAGATGGCGCCGCTGCACTCCAGCCTGGGGCAAGACTCCATCTTGAAAAATAAATTAATTAAAATTAAAATTTAAAAATTCAAAATACTGAAAACCATACACCCACACAAACCTATCCCTTTCCTTGCTTTATTTTGCCACTGTTCTCACCATCAAATATACATCTTACTTGTCTACCCCCACCCCCAAAATTTCTAGGATACAAACCCCACAAGGGCACGGCAGAGATGTCTGCATCTTGTTTACTGCTCTATCTCCAGCTTTGTAAAACAGTGCCTGTCAATCACTGCCAACATCAAATTCCTGGTTTTACTGTAATAATGGAAGATGTAACCACTGGAGGAAACTGGCTGAAGGACAGCTTGCCATCCCCACCCTCTCAGCAGCATCTCCGCAACCTCCTGTGGAGCTAGAGTTACACACACACACACACACACACACATATATGTTTTTTGAGACAAAGTCTCGCTCTGTTGCCCAGGCTGGAGTGCAGTGGCGCGATCTCAGCTCACTGAAATTTCCACCTCCTGGGTTCAAGCAATTCTCCTGTCTCAGCCTGCTGAGTAGCTGGGATTACAGGTGCTTTCCACCACATCCAGCTAATTTTTGTATTTTTTTTCTAAAGTAGAGATGGGGTTTTCACCAGTTTGGTCAGGCTGATCTCGAACTCCTGACCTCACGTGATCCACCCCCCTCGGCCTCCCCAAGTGCTGGGATTACAGACATGAGCCACCACACCCAGCCTGCGTCTACTATATAGTCAGTACATAATAAACATCTGCACAATGAATAAATCCCCATGACAGTGAAAATGATTTATATTAAGTGATAATTTACTACCATTTGCATCTAAAAATTACATATATTTGTATGTGCATACACTATCTCCAGATGAATATGTAAAAACTGATCATACTGGCTGCTCTGGCAGAAAATCTCAGTGGCTAAAGAGACTTTTCAACAAACCTTTTGTACCTCTTGAATTGTGAACCACGGATGTTTTACCTATTCAGAATACAATTCAAATCAGAAAAAACTCTGTGTTAGCCTCTTCCCCAGAATCGATGTCAACTTTACCAATCTAGTTTCCAGAAATCAGGTTATTTCCCTTTCTGAAAAACCACTATTGCACTTTTCACACTCTACACCCTTGTCCTTGCAGTGATCCTTCAACCTTCCAGGGCCTTCTCCACCTATAAGAAATTCCTCTTGAACTCAGAGGAGGAAAAAAAAACTGTAAGACATTTTAGAAATAGGAAAATTTTAATATCACAATTATCACTGGATTACTGTTATTTTTCTTAGGTTTGGTAATGGCATCATGATTATGCAGAAAAACGTCCTTAATCTTGGAAGATAATTTATGTTAAAGAATTTGGGATGGGAAGGGCCACGATGTCTACAACTGACTTTCACACGGTCCCATGAAAACAGAACCGTGTAGAAAGACAGATGTATAGATTAGACAGATATATGGTATAATAGAGATACGTCTACATGTAGACATGCAGTTTATAGGGATAAAAGTTAACATGACTAAATGTTAATTGGCAAATCTAGGCAAAGGTTATCTATTGTACTGTTCTCACTTTTCTGCTTGAAATTTTTCGAAATAACAAGTTGAGGGGTAACTTTTTAAAATCCTACTGAAGTTTCCAAAAATTAGCTCAAATGCCACCTCCTCAAAGGGCTCTTTAAGATAAATGTTGGGAAAAATGACTCCCTCTTCTGCATCGCGAAGGCACTTTACCTATGTTCATGATTCAATTGACTGAGTAAAAAAATCACGGGGCCCCTAGTTCAAGCCCACACACCTTGGTACCCTCTCACAGACACATCTCTCGGTTCATCCTCATACATCCATCCCAGCAAGGCCTAGAACAGGATTACTGCTTAAAGAAAACAGATACTGGGATGGCCGGGTGCAGTGGTTCACACCTGTAATCCCAGCACTTTGGGAGGCCGAGGCAGGTGGATCATGAGCTCAGGAGTTCAAGACCAGCCTGACCAACATGGTGACACCTCATCTCCACTAAAAATACAAAAATTAGCCGGGTGGTGGCGGGCGCCTGTAATCCCAGCTACTTATTAGAAGGCTGAAGCAGAGAACTGCTTGAACCCAGGAGGCGGAGGTTGCAGAGAGCCGATATCACGCCACCGCACTCCAGCCTGGGCGCCAGAGCAAGAGTCTATCTCAAAAAAAGAAAAAAGATAACACACTGGGTGGGGAATGTCCACACCTCAAGAGTGAGCAGGAAGGCCTGGGGTGAGCTTATCAAACTCCTGCCAGGCAGTTGTGGGGGAAACCGTCATGAGGACCAGCCCCAAAACAGCTCATTCCCAACATACTCACTACGGACGTCCTTTTATCTTGGAGTAAGGTCCAAATTTCCCAGAATGCAATGACTGAACTGCTCCACACCTTTTCCTAATTTTCTAAACTTCCATAGGCTGAGCAATCACTCAGCCTGCCCTTTCAGACCAAGGGGCCGTATGTGTTTGAGCACGCACACATGTGGATATGTGTGTGTTGACACAGGTCCACTCACTAGGAGACTTAATCCCATACATTCTCCACACGTTTCCCACCCCGAATACAAACACGAAAGCAGGGCTGTCTCTATAACTCCTCATTCTCAACCCTACACACAATTCTGCACGTTTAGCATCCAGCCAGAAACCTACAATTCTGACACCATTGTGCTGAGTGACGGGACAGTCCATTACCCCCGTATGTCAATGGTTCCTCTCTGGATCTTCGACAAGAGGACAGCTATGGAGACATCTGGGGAATACTATGGATACCCTGAAAAGCCCAGCAGACACCTGAGCTTCTGGCTGGGGACCCAGGTGTGGCAAAAGGCAGAAGCAGTAGTCGCTATCTAACGACATAACTTTATTGGAAACAAAGAGTGGGGTGCAGAAGATGGCTAGGAGTCAGGCTCTGTGGGAGGCGGTGGCTTCTCATCATCAGGGGGACAATCGATGAAGTCGGCCAGCATGGCAGCTGTGTCATCCTGCTCCTTTTAGGCACAAAGATACAAGATTCAGAATAGTCATACACACACACACAGAATGGTTCAGGCTGGGCAAACGTCTCCTAAGATAAGCGGCTGCCACCCACTCTCCCGACAGCCCCACCTTCTCACCCAAGGTGGCTTCCCTGCCTGGCCCTCTCACCTTTTCCTGGAGAGCTTCAGCCTCTGTCTCTGTCTCCATCTCTTCCTCTGCAGATGTCTCTGGTGGGGGCTGTACCCTGTCACCCCCATCCTCAGTTCCCTCTTCCAGCAGGGTTGGGGGAGCAGAGGGCTCTTCTTCAACAAGCTCTTGGGGAGGGGGGCCTGCCGAGGGGCTCCCCTCTTCCCTCTCCACCTCTCCCTGGGAGGGGAGCACTTCAGGGGCCAGGGTGGGAGCTGTGTCAGCCCCATGCTCCTCCTCTGCCCCTGGCTCCTCCACTTCCAACAGCAGCCCGGGTTCTGGTTCTGGCTCAGGCGGCACCTTTGGGGGAGACTCAGGGGGAGGCAGAGCTGGAGGCAGGGTTGGGGGTGGAGGTCCACCTTCTTCTACCTCCCCTCCTGCTGTGCCAAACTCCAGCTCTTCCACCTCTTCCAATTCTTCTTCCTCCTCCTCATCCTCCTCCTCTTCTTCTTCCTCTAACTCACCTTCTTCTTCCTCAAACTCTTCTTCAAACTCTTCTTCTTCCTCTTCTTCCTCTTCAAAATATTCCTCTTCATCCTCTTCCTCTTCCTCAAAGTCTTCTTCCTCTTCCTCTTCTTCCTCTTCTTCTTCTTCCTCTTCTTCCTCTTCCTCCTCCTCTTCATCACTGCTGTTGATATTAATAACCGTCAAATCCTCTTCCAGGGCTGGGGGTCCTCCCCCACCAGGAGTCCCTTCAGGGACCAACTGGGGTGGAGGGAGCGTCACAGGACCAGGAACAGGCGGGGGCGGAGGTGGGGGTGGCGGGAGAGGCCCTGGGGCTGCAGGAAGTTCTTCAGGCTCCTCCTTGGCTGGCACAGGAGGGGAGGCTGTTGGTGGCCCAGTGGGGGCTATAGGGGGTGGTGTGGCACCTGAGGGTGGTGGGGGTGGCAGGGGGGGAAGCCCCTCGGGCACGATCACCACGCTGTCATCAGAGTCACTTTCCAAGGAGATCTCCACATCAGATGCCTCCTCCTTATCATAGTGGACAAATGCTGGTCTGGGCACTCTCCCCCCAAAAGTTTCATCTGGGGGTATAGCAGGTGGGGGAGTCCCACTAGGGGCAAGGATGGGGTCCTCATTTGAGCCTGCCCGGTGGTTCTCGGGGCCAGGAAGAAGCCGGGGAGGGACAGACACTAGGCCTGAGACAGAAAGGCCTAGGTGGTTGGCTGTGGTGGGAGGTCCAGGGCGTGCCGAGGGCACAGGGCCTGCTGAAGGCATGGGTCCTGCTGAGGGCATGGGCCCTGCTGAGGGCATGGGGCCCACGGAGGGCATGGGGCCCGGAGGATGGAAGGGTGGGGCCCTGAAGGGCGATGGGGCCTCAGGAGGGGGAACTGGAGCAGGTGTGGGGCAGGTGGGGCCCATGGGCTGCAGGGGAGGAACCCGGGGGTGGGTCAGAGCAGCACAGGTCACCAGTGCTTCCGAGCAGAAAGAGGAGACCTGAGGAAAGAAGAAAGGGCAAGTGTGAGCACCGGGAAACAAGGGACTCCAGGGACCAAAGAGGGTTTGGCCCATCACAGCTACCTCAAGGCTATCTTCTCGCTGGCCGAGGGAGAAGGCTTGCAGGGCACAGGCAAGAGGAGGTGGGCAGCGAGGAGAAGGGGCCAGCAGCAGTGCCAGCAGCAGGCAGTAGAGTTCACGACGGCAGCGGGAGCTCGTGTACGGGGAGCTGCCTAGGACCTCACCCTGCTGGACACCCATGACCAGGGGGAGGACCAGATCATGCAGTCTCTGAAAAGGACAGAGCACACCTGGAAACATCCCCAAGACCACCCAACCCTTCTCCAGAGCCTACTCCCAGGTCTGAATGGACCCACCTCTGGGCCACACCCCCCAGTGTGTACAGAGCAGGGGCCCCTCCTTCCCCCATCTCCTCATTAGTGGACGAGGCTCCACTAACCCTGTGAGTCTCCTCCTTGATGAGAGGTCCACACATGAGGATGGTCCGGCTGAGGCCTGGGGAAGAAGAATGGTGTGTAAAGAGAAGGCTCCCAACAGGACTGACAGCAAGGGCTTCTGAAGCACATAGCCCAACGTGGGCATCAACTCTGCCACTGCCTATCTTGGCCAAGTCATTCAACTTCTCAACTAGAAAATGGGGATCATAAAAGTACCTCTACAGTATAGGGCCACTGACAGTATTTAATTCAGACAACGTAAGTAAAAAATTATAAATTTTATAATTTTGCATTTATATATTTGGGGACAATCAGTTCTCCCCTTCCCATGGGATAGGGTGACAGGCAGTGAGATATATGGGACTCAGAGGAAAGTCATCCATTAACTGCACAGTATCCTACTAGTAACCTCTGTAGACAGGTCAGTGGTTACGGTGAGAGCAGGGAGCTCCTCCAGGCAGCCTACCCTACGGAGAATGTCGACTTCACAGGGAGGAGGCTTCCCCATGTGCCAGAACTCTGCCTGATAGAAAGTGGATACGCCAAGAATGTGCTGAACGCAGGAGGAAGCAGAGGCCTTGGAGGGGCAGTGTCAGCTACCAGAGTCCCCGGTCTAACCGCAGGACCTGAGGCCGCCTGCAGCCCTGGCAACAGGGCGGCTGCTTGGGCGCCTCCTCCTGGCCACTCTGCAGGCTTCTGCCGGGCTCTGCATTTTACAGGCACCTTCCCCTTCACCCGCTGTTTGGGCGATCACTTATCACGGTGGACAAAGGCTGGTCTGGGCACTCTCCCCCAGAAAGTTTCATCTAGGGGTATAGTAGGTGGGGGAGTCCCACTAGGGGCAAGGATGGGATCCCATTTGAGCCCCAGTGGTCCAGGGCACAGATCTCACCCACCTTTGAGTGCAGCCGCACACACATCACTGTTGGCATTGCTATCCCCTTTCCGGTGGCTTGGCGGGGCCATAGCTTCCCCCACATCCAGCTTTAGCTTCTTGGGGGCGCTGGGCTTCCCAGTCTGCAAACTCCCATCAGGGCTCCCCCGCGGGCTACGCAGCTGGTGGCAGAGGAAACATAAATCACATCCACAGGCAAACAAGAAGGCAGGACAGCCACAGTAGACAGTGCTGAGCAGGCACATTTGGTCAAAGGGCACAGGATGAGTCCTGAGATGGAGCCGAGGCCTCCTCACCTTAAGGGCATCAGCTGGCGGTGAGATGTCACTGAGCAGGTGGGTGAGCAGGGCCTCTCCAGAGGCTCCTCCCTGAAGCATTCCCGCCGAGGCCCCACAAACCTGCACCCACAGCTCTAACACCGCGTACACCTTGGTCCGAACCGTGCTGTGCCATGAGCAAAGAGGACGGATATGAATGGAGTGTCAACATGCCAGAAGCCGCAGCCCACCTGCACCCCTCACCCCCTCTCATCTTTATTCCCTTCCTGGATGGTCACCTGTAAGGCCTCTCCTGGCCGGGAGAGAGGGAATCTCTACCGATGCTCCAGGAATTGAGGACCTGGGGAAGCAGGCGGCTGATCAGGATCCCAAAGCGCAAGAGCCGGCTTCCACATCTGGGGCAGAGAAGGAACAGTGACCCTTGTTTCTGGCATGCCCCATCCCTTCACCACAGCCAGCCCAATCCCACTCACGCGAGGATGAGTGCAGACAGCAGGTCCAAGGCCTCAAGGTGGATAGAGGGCAGCAGCAGCAGCCGCAGGGGACCATCTCCATGCAAGCTCTGGAGAAAAAAGTGGCAAAGACAGAGTAGGGGAAGAAAGTGAGAGCCAGAGACAGAAACAGGGACAGACTATTTACATATGTACACATAGGTAAGAAACCTACACCCGATCTCAACTCTCCCAACAAAATCAAACCCCTATCCTCTAAAATAGACCCTGGATGGAAGGTAAGAAAGATAGCTGGGCCTCTCAGCAATGACTCAGCTAATCCCCAAATTCACCCTCCCCCAAGGAAGCATTTGCTACACTCTGACAGTGTGCACCTGTGTTGGGACACACAGAGTAACAATATTTGGACAGAAGTAGGAAACTGTCTGGGACGATCCAGGATGACACTGTTCGGGGAGACTCAGGTCCCCAGTACTTTCCTGGTTGCCTGGTGTCCTAAGCAAGGGCTGTGAAGAGATGACAAATCCCACTTACAATATTCTTGCTACTGACGCTGAGGGTCCGGCAGATAAAATCCAGGATTTCCTGCACAGGGACGGACACGGGAGCTCCAAACTCAGAGCTAAAGAGAATCAGAGCAGGGAGACCCTCAGAGCAGGCTCCCTGGTATAACTCCCACACCCACCTTCATCTCCTTTCTCATGATGAAGGTGACACTCTCTCATCAACCCCTCCTGCTCCATGCCTCCGCTCCCTCCAACACCCCCACACACCTGAGCATGAGCCCTAGGCAGCGGGCCAGTCCCGAAAACCTCTGCCGAAGCCGGAGAAGGACATGCGCATCGCCATCTTCTGAGGACAGCAGCATCTCCACCCCAGGGCCTTCGTTCTGCACAGGAGCTGGGCAGAAGCACAACTACCCTGTACCCTGTCTTTCTTCCATCCCCTCCTCTGTCATTTCTGGTGGATAACCTGCCTGTATTCTAACCCATTATCCCCAAAAACCAACTGCCCCTTGTCCCTGGGCTCCCTCCCGTTCCTTCCTGCCATGCTTCCTCAGCATTGTTGCACTGACTAGCAGCCCTGGTCCCTACCGGTCTCTGCTCCCTCATACAGGGCCCCCAGCAGGGTGTGCAGTGAGGCCAGCAGACTGTGTAGCTCCTGCTCCCAGCTCTCAGTGTGCTTCAGGCCTTGGGAAAAGCCAGCCCCTAACGAGGGCAGCCGGGAATAACACTCACAGGCCAACTGCGGGACAAAGGACAGAAACCTGGTCAGATGGGGATCCAGCCCAGCCACAGAACCCCCAGCCCCACTAACGCCCAAAAGAGATGGAGATCAGAGAGCTCTGAGGGAAACCTGAGATGGGACAATGAGGCCAAAGGACCCAGATGGGCACATGAAGGCACGACAGAAAAGCTGAGGAGGAGCAGCAAAAGACACTCCAGACTCAGATCCCCGGGCTCTCCCTCTCCCTCCCTGCCCTTTACCTGTTGGAGCTGAGGGCTCAAGGCATCCACCCTAGACAGAAAAAATGAGGCCAGCTTGCCCTGGATGTGGAGGGAAAAAGGAAGAGGCCGGTGAGCCAGCTCTGAGAGCCAGAGATGTACACCCCATCTGTTCCCAGCAGCAGACTCTAAGCCCAGGTCTTGTTTTTCCTGTAGACACAAGAAGCAAAGCCCTCTATGGGGCATCAACACCGGGCACGGACATGCTTTCATGGTAGAAAGACTCCTCAATGCCAGCTCTGGTCCTCAGCTTCCTGCCTGCGGGGAAAGGCGTCTGGCCCTGTCCCACAGACAGCTGGGCTTCCTCCTTGACAGTTTTTGCAAAAATTTTCCCTCAAGTCAAAAGGACCTAGTACTAAAAAACAATCTCCACACTCCAACTCTCTACCAGCTCACACACAAAAATGAGGGTCCAAGCTGGAAGTTAAGACACTAACCAGAGGTACGAGGGCAGGACAAGGTCAAAAAAGAAGGCTGGCTGCTAGAGCAGAAGTAAGGCAGCAAGTCTCGGGGTAGCGATCTGTCATTCAGCACTTTCTCCGCGTGCTGTGTGAAGGTGCTAGGGCAGGAATGTCTAACCTGAGAACCACAATTTAGTTGGGTATACAATCAAAGGGGCCTGTGAACATGGATGGGGAAAAAAATTACTCCCACTAACCTATTTGTGAAATGTAGTGTTTTCTTTACTTATAAATGCAGACAAATAGCCACAGTAGTATCAGCAATACCTGTGACTGTCACTAATAGAATCATTTTCATGTCACATTATAATTGTAACACATCCTGAAATATCATTCACATGGATCACTAATTTGCAATTACAGTCGATGTAAGACCTGCTCCTAGATCTTATTACTTAACATGTCAATAAAAAAGCACAGGCTGGGTGCAGTAGCTCCCACCTGTAATCCAGGCACTTTGGGAGACCAAGGCAGGCGGATCAGTGGAGCCAAGGAGTTTGAAACCAGTCTGGGCAACACGGAGAAACCCTATCTCTACTAAAAATACAAAAACTTAGCCGGGTGTGGTGGCATATGCCTGTAGTCCCAGTTACTTGGGAGGCTGAGGTGGGAGGACCGCCCAAGCCCAGAACCGAGATCACGCCAGTCAGTGTACTCCAGCCTGGGTGACGAGAGTGAGACCCTGTCTCAAAAAGAAAAAAGGCCGGGCGTGGTGGCTCATAGCTGAAATCCTGGCACTTTGGGAGACTGAGGTGGGCAGATCACGAGGTCAGGAGTTCAAGACCAGCCTGGCCAACATGGTGAAACCCCGTCTCTACTAAAAATACAAAAATTAGTTGGACACGGTGGCAGGCACCTGTAATCCCAGCTACTTGGGAGGCAGAATTGCTTGAACCCAGGAGGCAGAAGGTGCAGTGAGCCGAGATCACGCCACTGCACTCCGGCCTGGGTGACAGAGCAAGACTCCTTCTCGGGGGGGGAAAAAAAAAAAAAGAATTAGTAAGGAGAACAAGACAAGCATACAGAAAAACAAGAATCTGGAGCCAATACTGGCAACACAGAGAAAAGGGGAAAGAGCAGGCTCACGCTTTCCCCGAGACATCCTGGTGGCGCACACCTGTAGCCCTAGCTACTTGGGAGACTGACGTGGGACGATCACTTGAGCCCAGGAGTTCAAGGTTACAGTGAGCTACAATCTTAACACTGCACTCCTGGGTCACAGAGCGAGACCCTATCTCCAAAAAAGGCTCAAAAAGCTGGGCTGAGGCCAACAGAAGTCTGCTTATGTGACTGCAATAAAGCAGTGTACGGTGAAGTGACACGGCTCTAACCACAGGTCTACCCTGGCTGACCCACAAAGCAAACCAAAGTGATGGCTCCCTTGGAACAGTTCACCCAAAACGCGCACACCCAGAGCACGTCCTGGGGCTCTCTCAAGAGTGGCTTAGTCTCTTCCCACCCATTCCGAGGAACTGCTCATCAATGTGGCAAGCCGAAGGAAATGAGTTCAAGTCTCTGCAGGAATTGACCTCATGGACTCAGAATGCTTGATTCACATTACTTGGGAGGAGTAACCCTGAGCTTGGAGTCTGCAATTACCCTGAGAGTATCTGGGGAATGTAACAGAAAACACACAGACACTTCAAAACGGCAATTACCAGTTTCCCTAAGTACTAGTCTGCTAGACTGTCCAAGTGCAAATGGCCCCTGCAGCCTCTGCATAACAGATTCTTATCTGAAGTGCTGGCAACCGACAAAGCCAAATCCTCCACACCCTCAACAGAGGGAAGTTCTCCAGATGACCTTTTTTTTTTTGAGACAGGGTCTCACTCTGTCACCTAGGCTTGAGTGCGGTGCCACGGCTCACTGTTTTGTTTTTTGTTTTTTTTTTGAGACAGGGTCTCACTCTGTTACCCAGGCTACAGTGCAGTGCCACGATCTCGGCTCACTGCAACCTCCGCCTCCCAGCTTCAGGGGATCTCCTGCCTCAAAGCTCTGAGTAGCTGGAACCACAGGCGCGCACCACCAAACCCAGCTAATTGTTTTGTATTTTTGGTAGAGGTAGGGTTTCACCATGTAGGCCAGGCTGGTCTCAAACTCCTGGCAGATGACACTTGATTCTTAGGGAAATAAAGGTAGACACTCCCTGCAAGGACACAGGAACATTTGTTTGTTTGGAAAGGGTACTCGAAATGCAGGCCTTAAGTTCGATGGTCTGACGAAAGGTTGTGAATTATAGATAAATTCTCCTGACTACTCACACTGAAACTAAAAAAGCAACAGCAAAAGAACACTTAGCATTCTAGTCTCCTTAACTCTTACTATTCACACTTCTACCCGGTAAGTAACATTCAATTTCCCCTTTCATGGGGGGATGCAGGTAGATAAAGGTAATACCGAACAAAGCTGAATCAAAATAGACTTTTGCAGTAAAACCAAAACTTTGTTCAGGGACAAACTGTGGGCCTGTGTCATTTGAGAGGTTAACTTACAGAACATTTGACAAGATAACCAATTTTTACTAAACCTAGTAAAACCTCAGTAAATAACCTCTGCTAAACTTTAACAAAATCGATAAGTCACTCCAAATACCTTCTTGACAAAAAGTCCCAACCTGCCTACCCAAAGAGTCTATGAGCTGTGATGAGTGGCGTTCGCATGAAAACAAGGAACCAGCAAGGACACAACCCCATGCTCACTCAGAACCAGCATCTGCTCAGGCACTTTTCAGATACTGCGAGTAACCAGTTACTAAAGCCACAGCAGGTACCACTCCCTGATCACAGCGCTCAGGCCGGTGGAACTCTGACTCACAGTCCTTCCCAGGCCAGCAAGCTACACAGCCACTAACAATTGATTAGAGCTGCTATCTGCCCTGGTTTTACAATGACCAGATAATACAACCTTTGCTTACGTCACTTAAGTCCCTCTCAGCTGGTTTTCTCCTCTGTAAAATGCAATGATACCAATTCCACAGAATAATTACAATGATAAAATGAGACAACACATCTTACACACTCAGGAGAGTGAATGGCAGTGGGTACCCACTAGACCAGTTCCCTTTCCCTCCAAGAGCTTACTTTCTTGCTTTGGTCACAGAACCACATTAATCTCACTTTCTTTTTTTTTCTTTTTGGAGACAGAGTCTCGCTCTGCCACCCAGGCTGGAGTACAGTGGCACGATTTCGGCTCACTGCAACCTCCGCCTCCTGGGTCCAAGCAATTCTCCTGCCTCAGCCTCCCGAGCAGCTGGGACTACAGGCACACACCGCCACGCCCGGCTAATTTTTTGTATTTTAGTAGAGGCGAGGTTTCACTGTGTTGCCCAGGCTGGTCTCGAACTCCTGAGCTCATGCAATCCACCTGCCTTGGCCTCCCAAAGTGGTGGGATTACAGGCGTGAGCCACCACGCCCAGCCTCATAACCTCTTTCAAGACAACCTGAATAGCAAACTCTCCCTTGACTAACAATACTAACAGCCAATACAGTTAACTCCACCAGTTAAACAAAAAAATTACTAATTTGCCACAAATTCCAGCTCTCTAGAGATTTGTGCTTCCATCTTAGTAAGCAGGTGTCCAATCGTTTATCAAACCAATGGTGAATATAACAAAATAAGAGAGAACATTTAATCTACAGGGAACACCTACTTGTTCTTAGGTACAGCTGGCATCCAATTATACTGCAAACAACAAATGTGCCAATTACAAATGGCCCTTTAACTGTGACTGCTTCAGTAGAATCTGTAATCCATTCATGTATGTTATTGCATCTCCTTAAAAACAAAACTGTAATTCCTCTCCTGACCTCCTCCATCATCTTACCCACACAGACCCTGTTTGTACAGTTACCTTGTATGCGTCATGACAACTGGCAGGAAGGGGTCAGGAAGTGACAGAGGGAGTTTAAACAGGAATATATGCAGAAAGAAGTGTTGGGGCAATTGTCCTAGGGAAGTGATGGGTCAGGAAGCATTCCCAGAGAAAATTACAAGATCTTCAAAAATAAAGTAAAGGCTGGGTGCGCAGGTGGCTCATGCCTATAATCCCAACACTTTAGGAGGCTGAGGCAGGAGGATCACATGGGGCCAGGAGTTCAAGACCAGCCTGGTCAACATGGTGATACCTTGTCTCTACTAAAAACACAAAAATTAGCTGGGTGTGCTGGCATACGTCGGTAAGCCCAGCTACTCGCATACGTCTGTAATCCCAGCTACTCAGAGGCTAAGGCACGAAAATCACTTGGAACCTGGGAGGTGGAACTTGCAGTAAACCGAGATCACGCCACTGCACTCCAGTCTGGGCGACAGAGACTCTCTCTCAAAATAAAAATAAAATGGCCGGGCACAGTAGCTAATGCCTATAATCCCAGCACTTTGGGAAGCCAAGGCAGGCGGATCACGAGGTCAAGAGATCGAGACCATCCTGGCCAACATGGTGAAACCCCGTCTATACTAAAAATACAAAAATTAGCTGGGCGTGGTGGTATGCACCTGTAGTCCCAGCTACTGGGGAGGCCGAGGAAGGAGAATTGCTTGAACCCAGGAGGAGGAGGTTGCAGTGAGCCAAAATCACGCCACTGCACTCCAGCCTGGCGACAGAGTGAGACTCAAAAAAAAAATAATAAAGTAAGATATGATGTGAAGGTTAAAAACTAAAAAAAGATTTTAAAAAAGGAATAAAGTAAGATAGAAAGGGGGCCAGGCACACTGGCTCACACCTATAATCCCAGCACTTTGGGAAGCTGAGGGAGGAGGATCACTTGAGGTCAGGAGTTCAAGACCAGCCTGGGTAACATAGCGAGACTTCCTACAAAAAAATTAATAATTAGCTGGGTGTGGTGGCACACGCCTTAGTCCCAGCTACTTGGGAGGCTGAGGTGGGAGAATTGCTTGAGCCCAGGAGGTCAAGGCTACAGTGAGCCAAGTGTGTGCCACTGCACCCCAGCCTGGGCAACAGAGTAAGACCTTGTCTCAAAAAAAAGACAGGATGGTAGAAAAGTGGGCAGGGCATTTTAAGAGATACAGAAAAGGCAAGGCAGAAAAAGGAAGGAGCCCATGGTTCAGAGTCTGGCTTAGGCATCAAGCAGATACAGGTTCCAATGCCTGCTGATCTTAGGCAAGGTTCTTGATTCCAATTTCTCTGGAAGAATGAGGATTCAGTGAGATGAGTGCTACAATGTGGTAGAAGTGTAGCTGTGGAGATTGGTCACTTTAAAGGATAATCAGAAGATAGGTGCTGAGGAATCTCAGGACAGGAATCTGAGGTAAGAGCTCCCAAGGCTTACACTGGTGAGGAGAGGAGTGCATAAATACTTACTTTGAGAGAACCACAAGCCCGAGGGAAATAGGTCATACAAGCCTTCATTCCTTCCAATGCTGACTGCTCACACTATAGGAAAAACAAAGTGAGAGGCCGAGAGCACCATATCACCATATTCCATCTCCCCCAGCACCCGGCAAGGGCCCTTCTCCAGAAATCACTTTTTCTCAGCCCCTCCCTCTTCTCACTTCTTCAATCCTATTCCCCAGTCATTTCCATCAACAAATTAAACAGTGTGAGAAGGTGAGGACTGTGTGGGGGACATAGGGAAGGGCCCGGGGAGACATCTCACCTCTGGCCTGAGGCCCAGCAGGGAGGTGAGAAGGCCAGGGAGGTGGTTCATGGAGATATCCCGGAACAGTGCAGGCAGCTGGGCTGCATATCGGAGGAGGTCCCTCAGGACAGCCACAGCCAGCTCCATTGTGGCAGGCGGGTCCTGGGTCTAAAGAAAAAACAGTGTCTTGTGCTTCCAGCCTCACCTCGACTGTCACCAAAGAGCAGCAGGAGGCACTGCAATACAAGCATTCTGAGAAACACCACAGTTAATGTCAGCATGACCATCCAAGCCACTACCTGGCGGAAAAGAGGGCATGGAGGCATGGAGTATCCAAGAGTAACATCTCTGTCTACAGAAAGGACATGTGTTTACGTTTTACTATTAAGGGTTCTAGGGGTATCTGGGGTCCTAGGAATTTGTGTGGGGAAAAAAAGAGTAACAAAGCCATACCTTAAAGACCTGATTAACTGGAAGAGTTTTCTTTTCTTTTTTTTTTTGAGACAGAGTCTCACTCAGTCAGGCTGGAGTGCAGTGGCGCGATCTCGGCTCACTGCAAGCTCTGCCTCCCAGGTTCACACCATTCTCCTGCCTCAGCCTCCCGGGTAGCTGGGACTACAGGCGCCCGCCACCACGCCAGGCTAATTTTTTATATTTTTAGTAGAGACGGGGTTTCTTCGTGTTAGCCAGGATGGTCTCAATCTCCTGACCTCGTGATCCACCCGTCTCGGCCTCCCAAAGTGCTGGGATTACAGGCGTGAGCCACCGCGCCTGGCCGAGTTTTCTTTTCTTTTTGAGACAGGGTCTTGCTCTGTACCCCAGGATGGAACGCACTGAGGCAATCTCAGCTCACTGCAACCTCTGACTCCCGGGTTCAAGCGATTCTCATGCCTCAGCCTCCTGAGTAGCTGGGATTACACGCATGGACCATCATGCCTGGCATATTTTTGTATTTTTAGTAGAGACAGGGTTTTGCCACATTGGCCAGGCTGGTCTTGAACTCTCGGAGTCATGTGATCCGCCCACCTCAGATTCCCAAAGTGCTAGGATTATAGGCGTGAGCCACGGTGCCCAGCCCGCGCCCCCCCGGCTTTTTTTTTTTTTTCTCTCTTTGAGACAAAGTCTCACTCTGTCACCCAGGCTAGAATGCAGAGGCGCAATCTCGGCTCACCGCAGCCCTAGAAGAATTTTCCAATGATCTCATACTAATGTTCCCTGCTAGAAAGGGAGAAGAGCACTTTTCAGACTGAAAACTAAGCCTCAGTCATAACAAAACTGCCCCACCTCTTTGAGGTTGCTACTAGCTGGCTCAAACCCACCCTGGAACTCATGGAGAGAAATAGTTTGAATTTAAAAGGACTTCCTTAGAAAATTAATATGTATCTAAGGAAAAAGCATCCAGCACATATCTCCTGAGAGACGAGAGGAGGCTATGTGTCAAAAAAAAAGAGAATACTTACGAAGCAAAAACAGGCAGGCCTACCAACGACACACAGGCCCTCATCACTGTCCAGTAATCCTACCGCATTTCTCTCTGGTTAACTCTGCTACTTAAGTTTTCTCCTCCAACTCCCAACTCGCTACTTCTCCCACCACTGTCACCTGCTTAACCTGGCTCATAACTTCACAGAAAAAACTGAAGCCCAGAGATAACTACAAGGAACTATAAAAACAGCAATTACTTTTGCACCAACCTAATAAAACAGCCTTCGCTTCCCACTCCCAAACCTCGAAATTTCATCTTCACACTATCCACTCTCTCCTGCCCTCTTCCTACCCAAAGACAGTCCCTCCACTGTGCTTTCAATACTGTCCCCTCCCTTCCTCTCAGAACCTTACACTTTCACTGGCTTTATCTCCCTTGAATTTCTAACCAGTCCCCGTCACACGGACTCTTCCCACTGACATTTATACAGCTCAAGTCTCTCCCATCTTAAAAAGGCTTGTCTTTTTCATTTTATTTATTGATTGATTTTGAGATGGAGTTTCCCTCTGTAGCCCAGGCTGGAGTGCAGCGGCATGATCTTGGCTCACTGCAACCTCCGCCTCCTGGGTCCTCGTTCAAGTAATTCTCCTGCCTCAGCCTCCCTAGTAGCTGGGATTACAGGCACACGCCACCATGCCCGGTTAATTTTTGTATTTTTAGTAGAGATGGGGTTTCACCATGTTAGCCAGGCTGGTCTTGAACTCCTGACCTCATTATCTGCCTGCCTCAGCCTCCCAAAGTGCTGGGATCACAGGCATGAGCCACCGAAAAAGTCTTTTCTTGAGCCCATACTTCACTTGCCAAATCCCAGTAATCACCCCATTTCTCTCCCTCATCATCCATTAGAGCCCAGCATCTTGAAAGGATTTCCCATCTTCCCTCCTTCCGTTTCCCTTCTCCCATTTGCTTCTCATCCCGAGCCAGTCTGGCTTCAGCATCCACTGCTCCAGCAGAACCACTCTCACTATGGTCTTACCACCCATGCTGCTAACCTAATCAACGATTCTCAGTCTGCATCTTGTACCACCTCAGGAGGCACATACAGAAATAACTCCTCCCTCATCCCTCAAGGGGTCTTCACTTGGCCCCCTCCAGCCCACAATCCTGGTTATCTTCTTCTTGCTGTTGGCCTGTCTCAGTCTCCTTCGTAAGTTCATCTTCCTCTACCTGACCATTAAGTGTGATGTGCTTTAAAATCCAGTCCATAAAAGGACTTATTTTGATAATCTCATCCTCAGTTTCAACTGCCATCTAAACACTGAAGACTCTTCCCCCTAGTAAAAGATGCCAGGCCAGGCACGGTGGCACACACCTATAATCCCACACTTTGGGAGGCCAAGGTGGGAGGACTGCTTAAGCCCAGGAGTTTGAGACCAGCCTGGACAACATAGCAAGAACCCATCTGTACAAAAACATTTTTTTAATTACTAGTGGGTGGTGGTGTACGCCTGTAGTCTCCGCTATTGGTGGGGGCGGTGGGGGGTACTGATGTCAGCACGAAATGTCAAGGCTACAGTGAGCCATAATCACAACACTATATTCCAGCCCGGGTGACAAAATGAAACCATGTCTTAAAGAAAAAAAAAGAACAAAAAAAGGGCTGGGATTGGTGGCTCCTGTAATCTCTGCTATTGGTGGGGGTGGTGGGGGGTACTGATGTCAGCACGAAATGTCAAGGCTACAGTGAGCCATAATTACAACACTATATTCCAGCCCGGGTGACAAAATGAAACTATGTCTTAAAGAAAAAAAAAAGAACAAAAAAAGGGCTGGGATTGGTGGCTCCTGTAATCCCACACTTTGGAAGGCCGAGGTGGGTGGATCACCTGAGGCCAGGAATTCAAGACCAGCCTGGCCAACATGG